TGTTAATATGTCCATTGCTTATGTGGCATGCATACATTGGTGATGTTAATATGTTCAAAAAAAATACATCTTCAATGAATGCATGCCACATAAGCGGTGAGTATATTAATATGTGCTCACCGTGGGTATATGAGCATTACTCTTTCTTTCAATTATGATCTTAGATTGTTGATACTGTTCTTAAAAGCTCATATCCATCTAAGTTTCTTTTCTTTCTTTCTTTCTTTCTTTTTTTTTTTTTTTTTTTTTTTTTTTTTTTTTTTTTTGTATATCTTTATTGCATTATTTGCTCCAAGTTGATTGATGCACTTTTTTGATGGTAGGAATGTGATATATGATTAAACATATAAAAATGGTAGTGATTGAAAAATTATGTCAAGGTTGATTGGTAGGGCAAAAGTCCCAAAACTAAATTCAAATACTTGTGAAGTATGCTAACTCATTACATTCCTTTTATTTTAAATAATCTCAATAAACTCATGTATATATATCTTTTATATAGAAATTCTACGGAGTCATTGGATGCTTTCTTATGGAGTCATCCATAAATTTATTTACTGACACGTGTCTAATGTGTATTTATTGCAAGACGCGTGTCAATACATCATTTATGAATAACTATACATAATTACATAAACCGAGTCATCCGATGACTCCATTGGAAAACTGATCCTATATATACTATTTTGCATAGCTGTAACCTAACTTAGTTGACTCTTAATCAAACACTTGTGAAAATTACATAAAACAATAGCTTTCATTTTTTCCTATACCCATCATTTCTGCAAGATTTGCTGGAAAAGTAAGAGAGAAAAGCAATCTGAAAACTAATATTATTGGTATTATTAATTAGAGCAATCTTGAGAAAGATAAGGTATATGTATATCATTGATTCCTCATCCTTTTGAGCTGCAAATTACATTTTTTTTTTGTTCTCAAAATCAGACCCCACCTAATAAATAAATAAATATATATATATATATATATATTTTAATAACTAAATCAAATTTACAATATTTTTTTCCTCCAAACAGATAATCAGACCCCATTTCACATAGGAAAATTGCAAACCCTTTGTGTCTGTTTCTTGGACAGCAAAACAAGGGTTAGGGGCATTAAAACTTGAATGATTCCAAAAATGATTGCAAAATTTCACCTTTAAATAAATAAAAAATAAATAGAAACAAAAAATGAAATGAAGCCCCTTGAGAGGCCAAAAGCAAAAAGTTGAAAAATCATATAAAATGACCATTATTATTATTTTTTCCCCTTTTTTTTTGTTTTTAATCCAGTCACGGTATCCGAAACTATGCCCCGACTAATTCGTTGGTCGATCCGGGTTGTACATGTAACAGTGGTGGGTGAGTCTCCCAACAAGGATTTTCTGTATCCACAAAGACTCCAACCCGAAACCTTGCTTAAGCGACATCAAGCTACTTATCATTTGAATCAACTTCTGTTGGTATTTTTTTTTTCCCTTTGGTTTTGTCTCTTATGCCTAATAATCCCCTCATATCATGTGGGATTTTGCCCTATTATGTGCAACCATGCATGTTTCAAATCCAAGATTGATTTAATCTGACTGAAAAATATAATAGTGTCTTAATGTGAACTAGTTTTGTAGATAGGTTTGGGGTCCCAACAAGGTTATTACATTTTTAAACAAATTAGTTGTGTGGGGCTCTGTTTTTTTTTTTTAATTTATATTTTGTATTTTTCTCAATTATGAAAAAGGTTCTTGTGGCTATGGAATAAGATCAGATGTGTGATTGGGATGTCATGCATGAAATGTCTACCTGCAGCTGGGGACACTTCATTTTCCTAAGAGCGAGCCGAACTTGAGCTTATGGTACTCAAGCTCGAGCCAGTAATAAAACTCGAATTCGACTCGTTTATCAATATTATCAGGTTGAACAATAAAAATTTGTGCAAAAAGTTCTCTTTTCAAGTCTTACCGACAAAAGCCGAGCTTA